AGAGACACAGAGAGAGGGGGAACACAAGTGGGGGGAGTGGGAGAGGGAGAAGCAGGCTCCCCACTGAGCAGGGAGCCCGATGCGGGGCTCGATCCCAGGACCCTGGGATCATGACCTGAGCCGAAGGCAGACGCTTAACCGACTGAGCCACCCAGGCACCCCTTCTCTGATTATTTAAATTCCTAAACTGGAACTGCCCAAGGACTTATACCCATTTCTCACCTTACTGTTGAAAAGTGTACAGAGAATATCAAAGTAGGAGAGCTGAAAAGATAGGGGTTTATGGACCAAGTGAATATTTGACTTCAGCAGGGAGCATTACTTAAGGAGGACACGATCCAGGGTGTAGCCATAAGTGTGAAAGAATGAACTTCAATGATGATCACAGAACGAATGTGTGTTGATCAATTGGAAGAGGCCATGGTGTTGGCTGAGTCATCCTCATGGACACTGACATCATCCAGTTGACCTACAGAGGGTCAGAAGACTGACACACAGGTCCTGTCATTACTTGATGGATGGGCTCTGCCAGAACAGGATTTTGTTTGGGGAACCACACCCAGGCCCAGGAAAGTGACCAATACCTTTATAACCAACACCAGTAAGATTTACAGGACTTGATGGGCCATTTCTTTCAAGTAATATTTGATTAAAAAAATAGTAGTCTCCCCCCAAATTTAGAGACAAGTACCGACAAATTCATTATTCAGAAATGGAACTTATCCAACGTGAAAATAATGTAAGCACAAAGTAGGTTTTCTAGCTTCTTTTTGTTGAATCTTGTTTATATTCAGACTTTAAGGTCTGATTTTGGGATACTAGAAACAAAACTCATGGAATCTTGGCCCAGGCAGAAGTAATAATGCAGGTCACTGGAGGAAGGTGGAATTTTTCAATAAAAAATGCTGTTAACAAATGGTTGTCCATACTTAAAAATTGAAATTGGGGGGCACCTGGATGACTCAGTCAGCTAAGCATCTATCCCTTGAACTCAGCTCAGACCTTGATCTCAGGGTCATGAGTTCAAGCCCTATGTTGGGCTCTATGCTGGGCATGGAGCCTACTTAAAAAAAAAAAAAAAGACAAAGATAAATAATAAATAAGTAAATAAAAATTGAAATGGATTCCTATTCTAATGTATGCAAAAATAAATTCTAGATAGAATACTGAATTTCTTTTTTTTTTTTTTTAAGATTTTATTTATTTGACAGAGAGAGACACAGCGAGAGAGGGAACACAAGCAGGGGGAGTGGGAGAGGGAGAAGCAGGCTTCCTGCTGAGCAGGGAGCCCGATGCGGGGCTCGATCCCAGGACCCTGGGATCATGACCTGAGCCAAAGGCAGCCGCTTAATGAATAAGCCACCAAGGTGCCCCTTGGCTCAGGTCTTGATCACAGGGTCATGAGTTCAGGTGCAGTGGTGGGCTCCATGCTGGACGTGGAGGCTACTTAAAAAAAAAAAAGTTCCAGAAGTCTCACAATATAAAACTATTTTTTATAAAACTCAAAAACAAGCAACACTCACAAATTCTGTTCAGCTATCTGCATATGAGAAAACTGTGAAGGGTAAAAACGGTAAAACGTAAAATTCTAGATAATAGTTATCTCTGAGGGGCACCTGGGTGGCTCAGTTGTTAAGCGGCTGCCTTTGGCTCAGGTCATGATCTCAGGGTCCTGGGCTCAAGCCCCGCATCGGGCTCCCTGCTCAGCGAGAACCTGCTTCTCCCTCTCCCTCTGCCTTTCACTCCCCCTGCTTGTGCTGTCAAATAAATAAATAAAATAAATTAGTTATCTCTGAGGAGGGGGCACCTGGGTGGCTCAGTCAGTGGGGCATTCGACTCTTTAACAGTCTCAGGTGATGATCTCAGGGTTGTGAACTCAAGCCCCATGTTGGGCTCCACACCCAGTGCAGTCTGCTTGAGATTCTCTCTGCCTCTGCCCCTCCCCCTGCTTGCAAGCTCTCTCTCTAAAATAAAATCCTTTTTTTTTTTTTTAAGATTTTATTCATTTGACAGAGAGAGACACAGCGAGAGCAAGAACAAAAGCAGGGGGAGTGGGAGAGGGAGAAGCAGGCTTCCCGCAGAGCAGGGAGCCCGATGCGGGACTCAATCCCAGGACCCTGGGATCATGACCTGAGCTGAAGGCAGACGCCTATCGACTGAGCCACCCAGGCACGCACCCCTAAAATTAATACAATCCTTAAAAAATATAGCTATCTCTGAGGACATAAAAGTGAGTTCAAGAAGACACACATCGGTATGTGGCATTAGGAATATTCTAGTTCCTTTTTTAAAGATTTTATTTATTTATTTGAGAGAGAGAGCATGAGCGAGAGGGAGAAGCAGACTGCCCGCTGAGCAGGAAGCCCGACACAGGGCTTGATCCCAGGGCCTTGGGATCATGAACTGAGCCAAAGGCAGAAGCTTAACCGACTGAGCCACCCAGGTACCCCTGGAATATTCTAGCTCTTAAACTGAGTGCAGATGATATGTTCATTTTGTTGTTATGCTTCATGATTTATATATGTTATTTTATGTCAAATATTAATTACTTCTTTAAATATAGTAAACAAGGGGTGTCTGGGTGGCTCAGTCGTTAAGCGTCTGCCTTTAGCTCAGGTCATGATCCTGGGGTCCTGGGATCGAGCCCCGCATCGGGCTCCCGGCTCAGCAGGAAGCCTGCTTCTCCTTCTCCCACTCCCCCTGCTTGTGTTCCCTCTTTTGCTGTGTCTCTGTCAAATAAATAAATAAAATCTTTAGAAAAAATAAATATAGTAGACAAGAGGATAATGTGATTTTTTAAAATTGTAGTTGATACACAATGTTACATTAGTTTCAGGTATACAACATAGTGATTCCATAAGGCTTTATTCTGTGCTCACCACTAAGATAGCCTCCCATCTGTCACCATACAACACTATTATTACAATACCAATGACTATATTCCCTACGCTGTGCCTTTCATCCTTATAACTTACTCATTCCGTAATGCAAGCCTGTGTCTCCCATTCTCCTTCACTCATTTTACTCACCCCCAACCCCCCTCCCCTCTGGCAACCACCAGTTTGTTCTCTGTATTTATGGGATTATTTTTGCTTTTTTGGTGTTTGTTCCTTTTTTAAGATCCACGTATAAGTGAAACCATATTTGTCTTTTTCCGTCTTATATCACTTATACCTTCTAGGTCCATCCATGTTGCTGCAAATGACACGATCCCATCCTTTTTTAATGGCTGAGTGATATTCCGGTGTGTGTTTGTGCGTGCATGCATAGATACCTAAATATACCTATATATATATAGATACAAGTATCTCTCTCTATATAGATATATCTATTCTCTTTGTCCATTATCTACTGATGGACACGGGTTGCTTCCATTATCTTGGTTATTATAAATAATGTTAGAGTGGTGCACATCTTTCTAAGCAAGTACTTTTGTGTTCTCTGGGTAAATACCCAGAAGTGGAATTACTAGATTGTATGGTATTTCTATTTTTTAATTTTTTGAGGAAACTCCAATGTTTTCCACAATGGCACCAACATTCCCACCCATAGTACACAGGGGTTCCCTTTCCTCACATCCTTGTCAATACTTGTTAATTTTTATCTTTTTGATACTGGCCATTCTGACTGGTGTAAGGTGATTTGCACTTTGATTTGCATTTCCCTGATGATTGGTGTTGAGCATCTTTTCATGTGTCGGCCGTTTCTATGTTTTCTTTGGAAAAATGTCTATCAGGTCCTCTGCCCATTGTTTAGGCAATTATTGTTATTGTTGGGTTGTAGAAGTTCTTTATATATTTTGGATATTAACCCCTCACCGGATATATCATTTGCAAATATCTTCTCCCATTCAGTAAGTTGCTGTGGGATTATGTGAATTTTGCATTCTATTCTACACCCTGTAAGAAAACCCTCTTCTAAATGTTTATCTTGTGGCTTCATAGACCGCACCTTGTGAAAGGCCTCAAGGATCCCTGATCTTCAGTGTTTTGAATGCTGCCTATTTTCCCATCTCGTGCCACTTGCCCAACCAGTCTCTGAGCTACTCAACCCCTCCCAAGTGCCTCTGTGCCATGAGCACATACTTGTTCCTATTGACTGGAAACACCCGCATCTCTTCCCTGTTGGCTGATGAACGTTTCACCCTGTTACAGGACTCAAATGCTACCCCCCAGGAGCCTTCCTAGAGGCTGTGAGGGTTTGGCCCTTTCTCTTGTTTCCACAGGGTCTTGTTCATGCCCCCTTGGGCACTTATCAGACATGTGTAATCACTCATTTCCAGGCCGGCCCTGCCCTGGACTCTGGGGTCCCCAAAGGCCAGAATTGTTCGTATGTATGTATGTGTTTACAGTAATCTCTACACCCAACGTGGGGCTCAAACTCACAACCCCAAGATCAAGAGTCGTGTGTTCTTCCAACTGAGCCGGCCAGGCGCCTCAAGGCCAGTACTGTTTTCAACTCACCCCTGTGGCCCCAGAGCCTACCCAAAACTGACCCTCAGCAAAGCTCCTCTTCATGAGACAGGGACACAGCCCCAGGGCAGAAGTGTCAGGAGAGGGGTGCCTGGGTGGCTCAGTCGTTAAGCGTCTGCCTTCGGCTCAGGTCATGATCCCAGGGTCCTGGGATCAAGCCCCGCGTCGGGCTCCCTGCTCGGCAGGAAGCCTGCTTCTCCCTCTCCCACTCCCCCTGCTTTTGTTCTTGCTCTCGCTGTGTCTCTATAAATAAATAAAATATATATATAATATATATAATTATATATAATAAATAAAATATAAATATTTTATATTTATATATTTTATAAATAATTTTATAAATAAATAAAATCTAAGAAAAAAAAAGAAGTGTCAGGAGAGACTGCCTTGGGGACGGAAGGAAGGGGAGCAGGTCAGAATTTAGAGGCCAGGTGCTGGAGACACCGAGGACTCAACAGGGAACACTCTCCTCATACCAGGCACTCCTCCCCTCTGTCACACTGAGAGCTACCACTATTGGAAGCAAAAGAAAAACAAAAGCTGCCAAGCTTTATTCAGGTTGTCCTGGTTACAGATACTGTATCTACGCCTACATCCCGCCCACGCTATGCGGCCTCCTGAGCGCCTCAGCCACCCCTGCCCCCAGTCTCATTTCTTCTCCTCCTCCTTCTTGTCCTTCTTGCCATCCTTGTTGGCCTGCGAGGCCAGGGACCCCATGGCATTTCGAATAGCTTCATTGTTGGGATCCACGCCTGGAAGGTTCTCCAGGACACTCTGAAGGAACTCAGGGTCCTGCATCACGTCATAATCATCCTCCTCCTGGAAAAGGGCAGTGTGGGCTCAGGGCAGGGGCTGGCTCATCTGGGCAGCGCACTGCTGCCTGAGCCCCTCTCTCCACCTGACCGTCTGGGGGTGGGGCCGCCTCTGGCCGAGGGTAGAAAGGACAATTCAGGAAAATACCCAGTGCCTATGTATGGTACCAACTCACACATTCATTAGTGACCAAACAGAGAAACTGGGACTTTGCTTCCTGAGCATACAGGATAAAAACAGATGCCATCATGGTCAGGTTTCTTACTGTCAGACACCCACTCCTTTTTCTTTGCCTTAGACCCTCTTTCACCCTCCTGGGAAGACAATATCCTATACACCAGTCTAGACTGCTCACACCAAGAAGGAAAATTATAGAACCTCAGGACACTTAATCCAACCCGGCCTGTGTTCATTCTATTGCCTTAGCAAGGTTTACAAACAAGAAATGTAGATCTAGGTGTTTCTTTCCCTCTGCTCCTCAAAAAGCTCATCTATGAAACCCTGAAGAATGGTTCCAGGCCTAGAGGGCTAAGGACATGAATGCCAGGGGACTTGATACGTGATGGGGGTGGGGAGTCAACACTGGCCCTCACCTTGGCGGGCTCAGATGTGTCCATGGCAGAACTGGCATCGACGTCAGCTGCTTCTGCCTGGCCAAACTCTGAGGAAAAGAGGTCAGTTTGTTGAGCTCCATTTCCCTACCCAATCCCTCTGCCTGAGCACTGCTTCCCAGGCCCTGGCTCACCTGCACCCTGCAGGGACATCTGCATGGCATAAGCGATCTGCTCCTCCTCGGTCATACTGCTTAGGTCAGGGAGCCCGGTGCGGCCAAACTCCTGCTGGCTGATGGTCATCTTCAGCAGAGCGTCGTCTGAGTCTGGAAAAAGGAGAGCGGCAGAGCAGAACTGGTGCCATGTTCCACACAGGCCCGCCCCGAAACTGCTCCCCCGGCCCCTATATTCCCGGGCTGCCAGGCCTCCCCACCGCTACGCCGGCGTCTACGCCCCGCTCCACGGGGTACCCCTGGCCCCATCCCTCACCTTCAGCCCCAGCTGTAGCAATCCCCGCCTCAGCCGCAGAGGCTGCAGCTGCCCGCCGGGCCTCCTCCTCCTGCCGCTGCCGCTGCTCTTCCATGGAGACACGGAGGGCCTGGCAAAGCGCAGGGCAAGGTCAGATGTTCTGCCTCCCTCCTTGCAGGCACTTGGGGAAGTCAGTTGAGGGGTGGGAAGGGGACATAAAGGGGCAGCTTCTGGTTTATGCACATGGGGAAGAACCTGGGGAGGTAAGAGTTGATATAGGGAAAAAGGAAGGACTTGGGAGAAGCCTGGGGTTTAATCAGGAGAACGGAACAAGACAGTCTGACATTGGTGCCCCTAGAGATCACACAGAATTAAGGGGAAAAGGGACCAAAGGGAGTCTGGGAAAATGAGCGAAGGTATTCAGGACGGTTTAGGCCTAGAGACGCTATGTGGTACGTGGGTCCTCAGTATAAGAGGAAAGGAGGACCCTCGGAGTCTGAGGTCAACGTTTGCTCACCAGGGCCAGCTCAGGATCAGCACTGGGATCCACTCCGAATTCAAAGTCACTGGCACCAAGACCCAGCATGGCACCACCTTCACCAGCTAGAATCGGAGAACTGATGAGGGCGTCGGCCAAGCTGGGCCCAGGGGGCACTGTCACCAGATGAGAACCAGTTCCATCTTTGCCATTCAATGTGTTTACAAAGGCTGTCAGCTTTTCTGTGTTCACCTCCTGGGGGAGGGAAGAACACAGGAGGCTCTCCTTCCCGTCTTGCTCCCCCTCCTCTGCCATGTCAGTTCCTCTCTCACAGTGCAAGCACTCCTCTGGGTAAGGACTGTTCTGCTTATAACCATATCGAGTCCATGCCCCCCAACCCGTCCTTACTCACCTCTTCCCCAAAATTGATAATGTCAACATTTACTTTTTCCTTCTTGAGACGTTTAGCCAGTTTCACCAGCTAGGAAGAGGGAAGAGAAATGAGGAAATCTGTTCCATACCATGAGGGGAAATGACACACCTCACAAAAGCATACAGAAATCAGTTAACCTCCCCAAGGCCCCCCAACAGAAACACTGAGTTCTGCATATCCACCTTTCCCCAAAACGATGAACCCAATGCCTCTGGCAGGCTCTCCTAAAGCCCAAGAAGCCCCATTTCCACATTCCCTGGCTGTCACCTGGACTCACATCCTTCTCGTTGTCCTCCACAGGGCTTCCCACAAAGGCAATGATGCGCATCTTGTGATTCTTGCCCTGTCGGTGCTTCAGAGCCAGCTTGTAAAGGAAGAGCAAGTTCTCAGTCAGCCAGAGGAATCACTTAGCTCTCCTCTGTCACTCTGCTGCTTTTCTTATGGTTTCTATGCTCAAGTCCACTGTCATGTTCACACAAGGGCTAACCGCTCCTCCACCCTTCCCTCCCTGCTTTGCCTCTATGTAGACAAGGAAGAGGGTCTAAGTCTTAATTCCAAAGGTCTTTTCCTTCACCACCATCATCAGTCCTGGAATTCATCCCACCATAGCCTTTCTACTCCTTTCTCTGGGTCACCTCTCTATCCCTGCTCTGGTTCTAGCTAAACATTCCAGGGAAGAAATGAACGTTGGGGACAGAACCTCAGAGCAAGGGGGAACAATCAAAGGGATCCAGTAGGACTCACATGGGCCACGCGGATGCCAGTGCAGAAGGTGATCTTGCCCTTGGGTTGGACAGTGTGGAGCTTGGAAAGAATGCGGCCGGTGTCAGGGGTGAGTGTGGTCAGCACTTCACAGTCACTGGGATGTAGGGAAAGGGTTTCTATGATTTCAGGTCATAGACGCCCTAAGCGTCTGACTCTTGATTTTGGCTCAGGTCCTGGTTTCCAGGTCCTGAGATCGAGCCCCACATTGGGCTCCTCGCTCAGCAGAGAGTCTGCTGGAGCTTCTCTCCTCCTCCTTCTGCCCCTTCCCACCCACCCTGTGCTCATCCTTTCTCTGTCTCAAATAAATAAGTCTTTAAAATAAGTAAATAGGGGCGCCTGGGTGGCTCAGTTGGTTAAGCGACTGCCTTCGGCTCAGGTCATGATCCTAGAGTCCACGGATCGAGTCCCGCATCGGGCTCCCTGCTCAGCAGGGAGTCTGCTTCTCCCTCTGGCCTTCCTCCCTCTCGTGCTCTCTGTCTCTTATTCTCTCTCTCTCAAATAAATAAATAAAATCTTTAAAAAAATAAAAAAATAAAATAAAATAAGTAAATAAATAAACTCAAGTTGCTATGTATATTCTTCTGAATAGTGAAGAAGGTAGTCTAGGAAGGTTGATGGGCAAATGCAGCTTATTGGGACCTACAAAAGGATAGCAACCTGGATGCCACAGTGGGTTACCTGTGGGAAAACACCCACCCGCTTACCAAGCCCCTTCCTCCTCTGCCCCACGTACTTGGCCAGTGTGATGAGGCCCACGTTGTTCTCAGGGTTGCTGCGGGTCTTAGAGTGACAGACTATGTTGACAGCGTCTTGTTGAGCCTGCAGCCGGGTGGGTAAGAAGTCCCCATTCCGCATGTACTCACTGTTGTCCACGCTGTCAGATTAAAAGGAAGAGAAAGAGGACATACTGTAACATCTCTCTGAAACATTCTCTCTAGTTCCAGGGACCCCTACCCTCCTTCAAAACTTTGACGGACACTGTCATGCACAGCAGTGGCTCTCAGTCTCTGTGAAACACAGAACCACCTACAACTTAAAAAAGAAAAAAAAATTATATATATATGATACACACACACAGACTTCCAAGCCTTACACCAGACTTACTGACTCAAAATGATCAAAGGAGGGACACCTGGGTGGCTCAGTCGGGTGGGCAGCCGACTCTTATTGGTTTCAGCTCAGGTCATGGTCTCAGGGTCATGAGATCAAGCCCCACACTGGGCTCCATGCTCAGTGTGGAGACTACTTAAGATTCTCCTTCTCCCTCTGCCCCCCACCTCCCTTTCTTAAAAAAAAAAAAAAAAAAAAAAGACCAAAGGAGGAAACACATTTTAAATCTCCATTCCACAAATGATTCTGATAAGCACCAAACGTTGCAATCTGTTCAAGTATCACAATCACCTTCTTATAATCTGCAGTTAAATGCTTTTTTTTTTTTTTTAAAGATTTTATTCACTTATCTGAGAGAGAGAGCATGAGATTCAGAGAGCCCGAGAGGGAAGAGGGCAGAGGGGGAAGCAGACTCCCCGCCGAGCAGGGAGCCCGATGTGGGACCCGATCCCGGGACTCCAGGACCACGACCTGAGCCGAAGGCAGTCGCCCAACCAACTGAGCCACCCAGGCGCCCCAAATGCTTTTTTTTTTTAAAGATTGTATTTATTTATTTGACAGAGAGAGAGACACAGCCGAGAGAGGGAACACAAGCAGAGGAAGAGTTGAAAATAGAGCTACCCTATGACCCAGCAATTGCACTACTGGGTATTTACCCCAAAGATACAAATGTAGTGATCCAAAGGGGTATATGTACCCCAATGTTTATAGCAGCAATGTCCACAATAGCCAAAGTATGGAAAGAGCCTAGATGTCCATTGGCAGATGAATGGATGAAGAAGATGTGGTGTGCGTGTGTGTGTGTGTGTGTGTGTGTGTGTATATATATATATATATATGTATATATAATGGAATATTATGCAGCCATCCAAAAAAATGAAATCTTGCCATTTGCAACGATGTAGATGGAACTAGAGGGTATTATGCTAAGCGAAATAAGTCAATCAGAGAAATACAATTATCATATGATCTTGCTGATGTGTGGAATTTGAGAAACAAGGCAGAGGATCATGGGGGAAGAGAGGAAAAAATGAATCGGGACAAAACCAGAGAGGGAGACAAACCATAAGAGACTCTTAATCTCAGGAAACACACTGAGGGTTGCTGGAGTGGAGGGGGGTAGGAGGGGGTGGCTGAGTGATGGATATTGGGGAGGCTATGTGCTATGGTGAGCGCTGTGAATTGTGTAAGACTGATGAATCACAGATCTGTACCCCTGAAACAAAAAATACATTGTATGTTAATAAAAGGAAAAAAAAAAAAAAAGGTAAGAAAGTGAAACAGTTATACAAGCCCTGAACAGGACCAATTCCTGATGACTTGAGATCCCTTAGCACTCTAATCGTCAATGATTCCATCTGTGTTGCAGTGTTCTCCCAGATGAGACACTTTATTTCCACTGGCAAACAAAATATGGGCTGGGGGGATGCCTGGGTGGCTCAGTCGGTTAAGCGTCTGCCTTCGGCTCAGGTCATGATCCTGGAGCCCCAGAGATGGAGCCCTGAATCTGGGCTCCCTGCTCAGTGGGGAGTCTGCTTCTCCCTCCCCGTCTGCTCCTTCCCCCGCTCACGCTCTATCTCTGACAAATAAATAAATAAAATCTTTTTTTTTTTTTTAAGATTTAATTATTTATTTGACAGAGAGAGACACAGTGAGAGAGGGAACACAAGCAGGGGGAGTGGGAGAGGGAGAAACAGGCTTCCTGCCGAGCAGGGAGCCCGATGTGGGGCTCGATCCCAGAACCCTTGGATCATGACCCGAGCCGAAGGCAGCCGCTTAACCGACTGAGCCACCCAGGCGCCCCAATAAATAAAATCTTTAAAAAAAATATGGGCGGGGGCAATCTTTTAATATCCTTTGACTGACAATAAATATAAGCCAGGAATGATGAAGAGAGGTAATAAGAAACTACTGAAAGAAATGGAAAAGGGAGTAAAGGGCAGTGTTCAGGTTCAGGTTCAAATCCCCAATCTGTTATTTATTAATACTATGATCCTGAGGAAGTTACTTAATTTCTCTAAGGTCTAGTTACTTCAGCTGTAAAGTGGGTTTTACTGTATGTAGGTGAGGGTAGGCTTACAGGACTGCTATGATGATGAAATGCATAGAAAGTACTTAGCACAGTGCCTAACAATAAGCATGACATATGGACTAGTTCTCATAGCGGAAACTCCATCTACATAGAGGGGTCAAGGGCTGACTCTACTGACCATGGGTTATATTCTTTTTTCCCTGATACACTGTTTCTGATTATTCTCCCAGCAGAAAAGCAACAGCCTCTCTAGCTTCAAATACAGTAGTGAGTCCAAATATAAGAAACAATGGAGGCTTTGAGGACTGTCCAGCTGGAACAGCTACTAAGTATAAGGGCTGTGGGCAAGAGCAGCAGATGGATGAGGGTTGGAAGAAAAGCGTCAGAGTGAGCACGGGAACTTGAGAGGGAGGGAGAACAGACAGTGGAGAATGTGGGAGCAGGGCTCACAATTTGTCATGCATTAGAACACTGGGAGGCTGATTAGTATGGGGGTATTGAAAACACAGATGCCTTAACATCTAGGTGTGCATCCCTAAAAAACACAATTTAGTTTCTCCAGTCTTGAACTTTATATGAATTGAATAATATACCTATTTCTTGACTACTTTTGCTCAATGGTATATAATTCTTCCCACCAAAAATCCATCTCTAAGTAAGGGCTTATGATATTGTCCAGCTATTCCATAAAGTCTTCATTTAAAAAAGAATATAGATGCCTGGACTTCCCTGACTGGGAGTCTGACTCTGCAGATGGAAAGCAGAGTCAAATACCTGCAATTTTTAATAAACTCCTCCACAGAATTTTGATGCACAGCAGAGCATGAGGCTCTACAGAAAAAGAGTGGCTCTCATCATTATTCTGTGCCTGGGCTGTTACAATTGGCCACCAATATGTCTCTCTGGGCCTAATCTTTCCTCCTATACATCAAGCCAGGCCAATATCCTTCCTTTTTTTTGAGGCTTGAACTCAGGACTCCTGAGATCTAGACCTAAGCTGAGATCAAGAGCCAGACACTTCAGCAACTGAGCCACCAAGGTGCCCCCAGGCCAATATTTTTAAACCCCATTTTGTATACGGCTCTGCCTCCACCACACTCAGAACTCTTTCAGAAGTCCTCTATTGAAAGATACCAGAGTTCAACCTCCTGAGCTTGACATTTGTGGTTTTCTACCTTTCAAAAAAAAAAAAAGAAAGAAACTACCTTAAACCAACAACCTTAAAACCAAGTCACACTAACCTATTTCCTAATCCTTAACCACACCTTGGGCATTTACACTTCAGCAGCTTTGTTTCTGCCCTTCCCCTTACCTGTCATGGTGTCTCCTCAACATCTGTCATAGTCCCTTCAAGGGACTTAAAGGGACTCCCTTAAATTCCCTCTTGAGGACTCCTCAGGTACATTGCAACTAAGAGATGTACAGTGCTATACAGTTTACAGAGCACCGTCACAAATATTTTACCTGTGCTATAAGGCAAGTGGAGGTTACAATTATTCCCAGTGAGAGATTTACTACATTCTCAATAACATGCAGCTGTTAAGTAGCAGAAAACACAAGATTTTGGATTCCAAATCCTGTCCTTTTTCTACTCTAACATGCTCTGTCCCAGAAGTTGCCAGACTTAGCACATAAACATATAGGACCCCCAGTTAAAATTGAACTTACAGATAATTAACAAGTAACTTTTTAGAATAAATATGTCCTCTGCAATATTTGGGACACACTTCTAGCCATTTTTGTATTTAAAAACTACTGTTTATATGAATTCAAATTTAGCTGGGCATCCTGTATTTTATCTGGCAATGTTATCCTTTCCCCACACCGCCAAAAGAAATTCTTAGGTGGCTGTCCCATCCAACTGGTGATTTGTGTGTTTGTGTACTATTCTGTATTATATTCTACTCTCACAGTTCGAAGAAACTGTGGAAACCTTGCAAAAGTTTGTGTCCTCTGCTTCTAATCCAACTCATAATAAGATACTCAGCCCAAGTCTGAGATTGAAGAAAAGGGCTAGCTCACCAAACAAGAGCTTTAACGTCAGATAGCCTAGGGTTTAAATCTTGGCTCCCCCACTTAATTAGCCGTGTGACTTTGGTAAGTCATTTAAAACTGCTGAGACTCGGTATCCTCATCTGTAAAACGGAAGGATATTTATGGAGAAGTGTTGTGAGGCTTAAATGAGAAAACGTAAATTAATGCCTGACACATAGAAAGCAATTTATAAATAGTACCTTTCAAGATGATACAGGGAAAGGTAATGGAGACAGACATGAGCGATTGGGGCGGGGAAAGGATTTATAATCTCTCTTGCTAACATCCATTATTTTGAGAAGAGTAGAGGACAGATGAGTCTGAGAAGCAGGACTCTCGCTACACACAGCGGACCTGGGGCTAGTCTAGGGGAGAAGAAGCTAAAATAGAGCAAAGAAGCAGGGATCGGCCAGTCAATGACTGTCCGAGAGCTGAGGGATACTGGGGTACTCTGGGCCCGTCCTCCTCTCCCGGGCCCTGTGATGACTCAGGGAGTCGATGGGGCTCCTTCCTTCCTGGCCCAAGGCCGCATCTCACAGATCGTTCCCCCACCCCCACCCCAGGCCCACCCGGCCTCCGCGCGACACGCGCCCCCCGCCCCCAGTCCCGCCCCCATGGGTCCCGAGGTAGCTCCTCACCAAACCATAGTACTTTCCAACACCATCTTGCCACCTTCCTCCCTCCCCGACCGGTTCTTCTAGACTGCCTAACAACAACTCGTTCCATTGGCCCAGCGCTCACCACCAATCACAGGCCTCGCTCAGCCAGCCGCTTCCGCTTCCATCCGCGTTGCGCTGTGGGAGTTGTAGGCGCCGCCCAAATAAAACGGGTATGTAGGGGCGAACGGAGGACTGAGGTGACACACAAAAAGAGGACCGACCTCTACCTTCCCTTTTATTCAAGTTCTCCGGTTGAGTTCCCTGCTGGCGAATCTAAAAGAGGCGGTGGAGGAACGCTTGAAATTGCTGTGGATGTGTTTGCCGGCATCTTCATTTTTAGAAACTGGTGGGATCTCCCATCCAAGTACTAACCAGGACCCTGCTTAGCTTAGAAACAGGTGGGATGGTAATGACTTTTCAGCTCCGTCACTTTCCCATAGAGCTTTGTGCACCTAACCACTAAGCCCTTATCCTCCAGAACTGAATCTCTCTCTCTCTCTCTCTCTCCTATTTAATTAAGGTCAGGAAAGGTGTCCTAATCTTTGCAATCCCTGAGCCCAATACAGAGCCTGACACATGGTAAGAACCCAGAAAAGGTTTGACGAATCAATCCTTTTATAACTAATCTCCCAAAGAATGGGAGACAAACTAGTAAACCATTTGGGTTTGTTAATCAAGAATAACATTCAAGGGGCGACTGGGTGGCTCAGTCGGTTAAGCGGCTGCCTTCCGTTCAGGTCATGATCCCAGATCCTGGGATCGAGCCCCGCATCGGGCTCCCTGCTCCGCGGGGAGCCTGCTTCTCCCTCTCCCACTCCCCCTGCTTGTGTTCCCTCTCTCGCTGTGTCTCTCTCTGTCAAATAAATAAATAAAATCTTTAATAAAAAAAAAAAAGAAAGAAATATTTTACCAAATTAAATTTACTAAGCCCAAACCTAAGTGAAAGTGCAGATACACAAATAAAGTCAACACTGTGTATTTGGACACAAAAATCCCACCAGGTTTTCAGGAATATTTACAAACAGAATTTTTCTTAATTTCTTAATCCAATTGCTTCAATATCTGTCAAAGAAGCAAAGAGGGAAGGTGTAAGAAACAAAAGTAAAAATAGGAATCTAAAACTATTTTTAGACATTTTTATACCTTGACTTCTCATATGAACATAGTAGAGTCAAGGAGCTGTAAGGTCCACTGAAACCTAATATTTTATTTTCTAGTGAAAACACAAAAGGACAAAAACATTTATGCAATCTGAATTACTAATTGCCAGCCCTAGGATCTGGCAGAAAACATAAGAACATAAAAATATCATACAGTGACATCTGAAAAAGATAGGAGGACTATCTGAAGCAGGAGCAGAGATGGAAGAGGAGAAAGATGTATCAATAAGTGACAAAGAAATATTTCCTTTCGGGCGCCTGGGTGGCTCAGTTGGTTAAGCGACTGCTTCGGCTCAGGTCATGATCCTGGAGTCCCTGGATCGAGTCCCGCATCGGGCTCCCTGCTTGGCAGGGAGTCTGCTTCTCCCTTTCCCACTCCCCCTGCTTGTGTTCTCTCTCTCGCTGTCTCTCTTTCTGTCAAATAAATTAAAAAAAAAAAAGAATAACATTTAAAAATGTGTTGGATTGGGCGCCTGGGTGGCTCAGGCGGTTAAGCAGCTGCCTTCAGCTCAGGTCATCATCTCAGGGTCCTGGGATCAAGTCCCCCATCATGCTCCCTGCTCAGCCAGGAGTTGGCTTCTCCCTCTCCCTCTGCCCCTCCCCTCGCTTGTACTCGCTCTCTCAAATAAATATATAAAATCTTAAAAAAAAAAAAAATGCTTTGGATTACCTTACCATACACACACGAAACTGGGAGTTTCATGACTGAGCCACCCAGGCGCCCCTAGATGTTGGTTTTAATAGATATGTTAAAAAATTACTGGTAACCCTCAGAGTTTGATAAGGAGTAAAATCTCCCTATCATTGCGGGAGGGAGGGGGGGAAGCTGTCAATATAACCATAGACAGGAAAGGGGAAACAAGAAATCACAGAAAAATAATTAGTGACAAGTTCAAACATAACCAAAATAGTTTGCAAACAAGACAAGAAATACATTTTAAAAAATAGCTACACAATGTAGATAGAGACACACCAAACTAAGTGATAAGAAGGTAAAAATATGGGATGCCTGGGTGGCTCAGTCTGTTAAGCATCTGCCTTTGGCTCAGGTCATGATCCTGGGGTCCTGGGAGCAGCCCCAAATCGGACTCCCTGCTCGGTGGGGAACATGCTTCTCCCTCCCTCTGCCTGCCGCTCCCCCTGCTTGTGCTCTCTCTCTCCCTCTAATGAATAAATAAAGTCTTAAAAAAAAAAAAGGTAGGGGCACCTGGGTGGCTCAGTCATTAAGCGTCTGCCTTCCGCTCAGGTCATGATCCCAGGGTCCTAGGATCGAGCCCCACATCGGGCTCCCTGCTCCGCGGGAAGCCTGCTTCTCCCTCTCCCACTCCCCCTGCTATATTCCCCCTTTCTCTGTCTGTCTCTCTCTGCCGAATAAATAAAATCTTTAAAAAAAAAAAAAAAAAGGTAAAAAATAAAGGGAGAGGGCGCCTGGGTGGCTCAGTTGGTTAAGCAACTGCCTTCGGCTCAGGTCATGATCCTGGAGTCCCAGAATCGAGTCCTGCATCGGGCTCCCTGCTCGGCAGGGAGTCTGCTTCTCCCTCTGACCCTCCTCCCTCTCATGCTCTCTGTCTCTCATTCTCTCCCTCAAATAAATAAATAAAATCTTTAAAAAAATTTAAAAAAAAAATAAAGGGAGAGAGTGAAAAAAATATTCCAGGCAATAGTAATAACAGAAAGCATGTGTAGCTATATTAATATTGTACAAAACAGAAATCAACACAAAGAGCTGAGATCAGATAGGAGAGGGGTATTTCATAAAATATAAAATTCATCAACAAAAAATGCTCTGGGTTAATCAGGATAATGCAACTCCAAAGACAGGTTGAAAATCAGGGATAACTAAGTTAGTATTCTTCTAAATGTATAAGTAAACGAAGACAAACATTCAACCCAAACAAAAGGACTAGAAAGTGAATGTTCTGGAATGTCATCACTGTTCTGGGAAACCATGATCCATGATACCTATGCAGGGAAGTGTCACCTTCTTAGCTTTAGTCAGATATTTAATAGGTTGTGACCAGTGTTTAGTTAGTACACTTTTTAAAAAAGATTTTATTTATATTTATTTGAGAGAGTGAGAGAGAGAGAGCACGAGAGGGTGGTGAGGGGCTGAGGGAGTCGGCTCAGGTTGTGATCCCAGGGTCCAGGGATTGAGCCCAGTATGGGTCTCCCTGCTCAGCAGGGAATCTGCTTCTCCCTCTGCCTCTTCTCCTCCCCCCCACTCATGCTCTCTCTCAAATAAATAAATAAAATCTTTTTTAAAAAGTCTATGGAGGGGCACCTGGGTGGCTCAGTCGATTAAGCGTCTGCTTTGGCTCAGGTCATGATCCTGGGGTTCTGGGATCAAGCCCCGCAAAGGGCTCCCTGCTGAGCTGGGAGCCTGTTTCTCCCTCTCCCTCTGCCTGCTGCCCCCCTTGCTGTGTTCTCCCTCTCTCTCTCTCTGTCAAATAAATAAATAAAATCTTTAAAAAAAAATCTATGGAGATATTGTAAAGAATACAAAATATAGCGACCATTAAAAAATGAGGTAGTGAGGGCACCTGGGTGGCTTAGTCAGTTAAGCATCCAGCTGTTGGTTTTGGCTCAGGTCATGATCTCATAGGTTGTGGGATCCAGCCCCACAATAGGCTCTGCACTCAGCAGGGTGTCTGCTTGAAGACTCTCTCCTTCTGCCCCTCCTCCTACACTCTCTCTCTCTCTCAAATAAATAAATAAGTCTTTTTAAAAATGAGATAGTGAAAAATAGATGCTATAGGATCGACTTAATTCAACCTGAGAATGGAGAACTCTCTTTGAACAGAGATGTCCTGTTAGCATTATGTCAGAAGGTGTTCAGTTAAGAGATATGTGAGTTGCAACAATGCACACAAAAAATGAAATCTGATAGGATCACATTTCGGTAAAACAAGAGTTCTATAACGAAAAAAGCAAAAACAAAACCATTCATTTACCTTTGATTCAGGTACTCTTCCTGGCACTTGGAAGGGAACAAAACAAAATCGTGCCCTCACGGAGCTTACATTCTATGGGAGAAGGCAGACAATAAACCAATAAGGAAATAAGTAGATAAACAAAATATAAATATTATGTATTTATATAATTTAATAAACACATTCTATATTAATATATTTATATATTATTAATATATAGTATTAATTTACATATTACTTTATATATTAAATTTATATATAAATCTATATTTATATATAAAATATATTGCATCATATTAAAACATATACAATTTTCAGGATGCCTGGGTGGCACAGTCGGTTAAGCATCTGCCTTTGGCTCGGGTCATGATCCCAGGGTCCTGGAATCGAGTCCCACATCGGTCTCCTTGCTCAGCGGGGTATCTGCTTCTCTCTCTGCCTGCTGCTCCCCCTGCTTGTGCTCTCTCTCTCTCTCTGACAAATAAATACATATATATATGTAGGGGCACCTGGGTGGCTCAGTCGTTAAGCGTCTGCCTTCGGCTCAGGTCATGGTCCCAGGGTCCTGGGATCCAGCCCCGCATCGAGCCCTGCATCGGGCTCCCTGCTCAGCGGGAAGCCTGCTTCTCCCTCCCCCACTCCCCCTGCTTGTGTTCCCTCTCTTTCTGTGTCTCTCTCTGTGAAATGAATAAAAACTTTAAGTATATATGTGTATATATGCATATATATACACATTTTTTTTCAAATAATGGTGATCACTTCAGAGAAAAATAAACCAGGGTGGATGTGGTTTCTATTTTATATAAATAGGATATTAGGGAAGGCTTACATCTGAACAGCGATCTAAAGAATACCTAGGGGAAAGAGCAAGTGGAAATGCCCTGAGGGCAAGGATGTATTTAAGAACATGGAGTCCAGTAAGGGGGGTGGGGGAGCAGAGGGAGGGAGGGAGGGAGAGAAGAAATAAGACCAAAGAAGCAAAGGCAGTAAAGAGGTTGGTGTATAGCCTCATAGATCATTTTAAGGATTCTGAATGAGATAGGAGCTATTGGAAAGTTTTCAACAGAGGATTGGCGGGATTTGATGTAGTGTTTTAACAGCATCACCTAGGCTGCTGCATTGAGAAGGGACTGTGGGGGAAAAGAGCAGGAGAGAAACCCAATTAGGAGACTACTTCAGTGCTCAGATAATACGAT